AAGGCAGAGCCGCCAAGCGACGATTTCATCTCGCTGTCTCTCACCAAGCGTGAAGATTACTCTAAGGGACCTCATCCAGAAAGTCGTCTGGTGCGCGAAGACGACGAGCTAGGAGAAGGAGATGATGGTTTGTCCCTCGTACGTTATACCACTTGTGCTTCTAACGAGCGCCACTAGAATATGCCGAATTCACAAGTGCTCAAGAACGCATAGCACTCGGGAAGAAGTCTAAGAAACTAGAAGCTAGAAAACGCAGAGATGAGATGAGTGAGATGATCGTCGACGCGTGGGTGTATATCTGGACTTCCCCCATCCACCCATGCTAACTGTAGTGTCCGCGTAGCGAAGAGCAGGACGAGGAAACCTTGGAATGGGAGCAAGAGCAGCTTCGTAGGGGAGGTCTTAAGACCGAAGAAGCTGTTGCGAATGTTCCCCAGCCCACATATAAGCCCACGCCGAGTAAGACTTACATTCGACCCAGCCTGGACGTTCCTCTGACCATCTTATAGTACCTTCCATGACGCCCATTCCAAGTTTGACGCCCGCTATAGCGCGACTGACAGCAGCAATGACCGCATTGACAACCTCGCACGCCCAGAATACTGCAACAATGACTTCCCTTGCGGATGAACGAGCGCAGATTGAGATTCGCGAGAAGCAAATGCGTGACATGATTGCCAAAGCGGAGGACAAACGAAGCTGGTTCTCCGCCTTCAGAGAATGGATAGAGAGTGTAGCTACTTTCTTGGATGAAAAGGTATGATTGATATGTAGTGCACTGACTCTGCGTGACACTGATTATCTTCTAGTACCCTCAATTAGAGAAACTGGAAGAAGAGCATATCTCTTTATTGCAAGAACGGTCAGATATCATCGCCAAGCGGCGTAAGGCCGATGATGAAGATGACCTATCGCTGTTCCTGGGTATCCTACCTACCGCTCCGGTCGTCAAGGCGGAGGAGACAGACGAGCTGGGCCGTGAAGTACCCCACCCACTCATTAGCCGACACGAGCGAATGATCTCTCGCAGTGACCGCCGCTTGCTTCATCGCGTCAAACGGGGCAAGCAAGAAGATGAGGAGGAAGGTTTCTCGACAGACTCGTCGCTCTGGAAGTCAGACGAGGCGGACTTCGACCTCGCGATCGAAAAGCTGGACGAGAAGCGAAAGGACATCCTGGCCGATGTCCGCGCTAAGGACTTCAAAGATCCTACTGTGGGTCTCAGCAAGTGGTTCGGCGAGTGGAGAGACCGTTTTGGCGACATATATACCGGTGCCTGGGGAGGACTCGGCATGGTAGGTGCTTGGGAGTTCTGGACGCGGTTGGAGATTGTTGGCTGGGATCCACTCTGGGTAAGCCTGGATCTCTCTGTGCCCGACGGATTTTGCTGAGATTGCGGCCTCAGGAAAGACATAGTCTGGATACCTTCGCGTGGTACAGGTCTTTATACGACTATTCGCGCCCTCGAGCCATTGGAGCAGACGAAGAGGACGAACCTGAGCTTGGACCTGATGGCGATTTGGTATCTGCCATGATCTCTACTGCTATCATCCCTCGACTATGCAAGATCATAGAGGGGGGAGCCTTTGATGCTTACTCTGCGCAGGCAACTCGCTCTGTTATTAACATTGCCGAGCAAATCGAGGTTTCTGTCCAACGGGAAGATCTCAAATTCCAGGTATGCGTTAATTCTTTCCCAAATCACATCGTACTTATACTTTGTGTGATTCAAGATGCTCCTGAAATCCGTGTTTGTCGTCTTCCAACGTGCCGCGTCTTCAACAGAGTCGACGGTAGCTCCTTACCTGGCCCTGAACAACCCTCGCTTCGATCCCGAAGCAATTCCCGCACGCCGACGTTTCCTCAACCGGTGTACGAAACTGCTAATCAATATGACACGCTGGCGGAAGTACACCGGTGAACGGTTCGGTATCGGGATAGTGATGACCAACCTGTGCACAAACTGCATGTTGCCGATTGCTGAGAGCGGGTGGGATGTGGGAGGGGAGGAATGTATGCGGAGGGTGAGTACAGCGGCTTTCTTCCCCTGTGGCTCAGATGCTGAACCAATACCACACTCAGGCTGTCACAACATTACCTGCCGAGCTTGTATCACCGTCTTTACAGGCGCGAATGCGTGCCTAGTGTTCGAATAACTATATTCCTCGTCCAGCAGTCCGCGTATCCCAGCGTATTTTGTGGGATCCACCCGAGAGCTTAGCCGGCTTAGCCGCAGCACAAGTGTGAATGACGCAGCGATCAGCTACCCTCAACGTCTTCATGCTATAAGCAATCTCGGAGAGCAAACACGAAGCTCTTTGACCCGCTCGGTGACCATTTCTGGTTTTCACACTGAGCGCGGCTCGTTCCGCTGTCAAACATCTCTACCATAACTACTCATCCATTGTGCAATATCTATCTGCAATACAATCGGCTTGTTTTGTTCGCAGAATAAGGAATGTTGAAGCATCGTCTATATAGAACGAAGTAGGTCTAAGAATACAAACGAACGATATCAGGTCACCAAGGTCCATATCCTTCCCCTTGCTATCACAAAGATGGGTCATACACACTCCGGCCGAGCCGACCGCCAGTTCGATTCTCACCAGGAGTGTCTTCCATTTCAACACGAAAACAAGCTGAATACATCACCACTTCCCCGCCAGCCTTCCCACAGCCCACGCGACACCTCCGCCTCCCACCGGCAACAACAGCACCCACACGCCGATATCCCACAGCAGCCGCTTCGTCCATCGTCTTCGTTGCAGAGTGCGCTCTTTGCGCTGGAGCAGCTCGTCGTTGTGCGAGTCGCTCCTGGAGAGCGTGCCGGGCCGCGGTGTGGTCGGCGGCATGACGATTGATAAGGGCCGACGCAGGTTGTGGATGACGATGTGGAGGAGCGCTGTGGGAGAGATGCGGTGAGAAAGGTCACTGATTAATGCGGGTTTGGAGAGAAGGTCTTTACCTGGTACAGTGAATGTGCCCAAGAAAGCTAAGAATAGCAGGATGTCGCTCGTAACGCGGACGAACCCGGACGATGTGAGCGAAATTCCTAGTGATACGGCCAATAGTATGACCCGCGAGACAACCAGGTGGTTGACATGTCTTCGGATGGCGAGCGGCACCGGTAGCGCAGGGGCTGTTACGAGGACAGACGGAATACCAAATACCAGTACAGCCGCGCTCAAGAACGCCATGATGCAGTTGAATGCTAACGGCGGGGGAGCACGAGGCTCGGGTTCTGCGTCCTGTACAGACGCAGTGCGGAACTGCAACGTTAGAGCGAACCCAGTTGCGGTTTCCTATCTAACTAAGAAGGTACGGAGTGTACTTACGGGAGAGGTGCCCGCGAGCCGGAATAGCGTCGGCGGGAGGATGAGCGCGACGGCGAGCGCTATTGAGCCTAGAGAGAGCAGCTTGAAAGATCGAGACCGCCTGGGCTTCGATGAGCCGAAGCCGCCACTGGAGCTTCGCAGTGCAGAATACAGGGGCAACGTCGACGAGGTGGCGAATGTGAATGCTACAACACCTGTGAGATGCCGTTAGCGAATCAGTCTTTTCCCGGTCGGGGATGAAGAGCTTACTGAGACCCTGCCAGAGGGCACCAAGTGATCCGTCAGCACCATTGTCGGCTGGAGAAGGAATGGGGAAGTGTTTGGCATGGGCATACGCCGTGCCGGCGACCCAAGCGATATATGCTGCTACGGAGAGCCAAGTGGCGGAAAGTACAGTGGTTGCACCGAGTGAGGTAGACGGTGCCAAGCTCAACGGGAGCGCTATAAGTGCAAACAGTACAGAGAATAGCGGTCGGGATGGCAAGAATCCGGCGACGCGCGGAGGGAGGAGGGGTATCACAGCATCGGTGGACGCTGTATCGTAGTATCAGCATCCGGCAACTGATTACAGCAACGCAGGGAAACGGATCACGTACCTCTTAGATAGAGCGAAATGAGCAGGAGACGGACGAGTCCCGTGCCAGACTGGACCACGAATTTTATCCATCGCCTCTTCCGCTCGCCTTCCCTGCCTCTACCAGCTCCTCTTGCAATCGCCTGGAGGAGGATCTCCTCCATGTCCGGCTTCCGCACATACCGTGCAAGTATGTACCAGATTTGCCGCGTGAGCGCACATACGCTCGCAAAGAAGAACAGGGCCGGTAGTGTGATCTTTAGGGGCTGTACATCGCCAACGGAGGACGATAGCAAAGCGCCTAGCTTCAAAAGAGGTGAGAGGAGATAGAGGAAGACCGCTAATGAGGACAATGGTGGTACAGAGGACCAGGGACCTCCTGTTGTCCTCCCGAGAGGACCGTCGAGCCCTTCGTCTTGAGAATCGTCGTCGCTACTTGATAGAAACTCGAAGGCTGCAGCGTCCTCGTCCAATTCATCGTGATCGCCAGGTTCAGGAGCGAGAATTAACGCAGCCGAAGGATCGACCTCTTGGATGGGAGATTGTCGGCCCGAGGACAACGAGTCTATTGAGGGCCGGGGAGATGAGCTATAGGGAGTTGGTGGAATGGGAGTGGTCATGGTAGAAAGGAGAGGAGGGTGTCTTGGAAAAAGGAGGGACTGGGACCGAGATGGTACAGGACGAAGACCCGCCTGCGGAAGAGAATAACCGTGGCAGGGTGTTTGGTGCAAACGAAACACCCGTAGTGGTAGTGTACGGCGCCTCAATCGCAACAATGCAGCGTCTCTTGTAGGTGTCCGCAGTCACTTAATTATAGCCATTCTTACAGTTCTTACAGTATAGAAGCTTGAGATAAGTCATGAGAGCATTAAGGCCTCACGTAATGATAAGCCGCAGCTGGGGCAGTGAACAGAACTAGGATTGTGGCGGGCGGATGAAGACTTGATCGCAGATTCGCTCAACTTCGCAATGAATTTGTACCTCTTGTATTACATTGCATGCTTTCTTCCTCTGGAAGGTTCAGTAAAAGAGAAACAAAAACCCACGGATTGCGCATTTTGGAGAGTAAGAGCTCAAAAGAGGTAACCAGTAGCCCACCGCGGGACTCGAACCCGCAACATTCAGATAACCATGTAAGCATGGATTGCCCGCTAGGCCGTAAAAGTCTGACGCTCTATCCGATTGAGCTAGGCGGGCTTGTACCTTGATATGTTTTAGTCATATATATCGGTGTCCGTTATGCAGTATACGCGAAAATACGTCATTTACCGGTTCATTCCGCTGGCGGTACGAACAGTTCGAGTTGGAACTGTGCTACTCCCCGCATACCTCACATCCCCTTACTACATCCTTGCATTATTTAACATGGCCTCCAGACTATCACGTACGGTGTTCTCGCGTCTTGCTCGCCCGGCTGCACGCGTGGGTGGGCGCACCGCTCCCCGCCGAGCAATGAGCAGCAGCTCAAGTGCCTCCCAGGGCAGCGACAAGGCTTGGATTGTAAGGCCATTTAATTCCATTGCCTGCCTTGATGCCAACCTGTGTCCTTTCTATAGATTGGCTCAGCACTCGTCTTTGGTCCTGCGGTACGTGAACGTAAACGAAGCCAGTTGAACCGATCACAACTCATGCGACCGCACCAATCTCCGTTATTGCCGTGCTCCACAGGCTCTTTACCTTGTATCCCCTTCGTCGCAGTCTCAAGCCCACGCTGCTCAGCAACACTCTCTACCGAAGACAAAGGAGTCTCATCCTGAGGATGCTCCCGTGCCCACTACCCCTCCCCCGCAAGAGACCGTGAGTCGTGTGCTCACTCACCTGAACCTATTTAAACATTGAATGTATGATATGGCAGGCGGAACCCGAATCTTCTGAGCCTTCCGCATTGAAGGACGACGAAGGCACCGAAGTGTCCTCCAAAGACGTCACCGACTCTATCAACAAAGCAGTTGTGCGTAATTGCATTTACCCATTCCCTAATACTCCCTCATACCACATGTTTCAGGACGACGACTCGCCCAAGGACGCATACGCTGCGGAAGCTGGCGAACAGAAGGAAGCTACCCCCGCACCCTCTTCTGAAGCCAGCGGCGACAAGGCGATCTCTGAGAAGACCGAGGCGCCCGGTAAACACGAGCAGAAAGAGAAGCCCGGGAAAGAAAAAGATGCCTCCGGCACTCTGCAAAGCAAGGAGGACTCAGGCCCCTCTGACGTCGGCGACGCCCGCAAGCAAGCGAAGGTCAGATATTCCATTGCCCTGAATTGCATGAATTTGATGCTCACCCATCTTATGTAGGGCGGGAACGACCCGAAGGAGGCGAAGGCGGAGTAATGCCACGGACATGCTTACATATAGAATGCCTGGACATTACCATCAGACACTTCACACAATCAATGCTGATTATCCGCTATCACAATTTCCTATATGCCACACACTTGAGTTAAGCCTTACTAGACGGACTTCGTCCATTCTAGTTCTCCGGCAGTCGAGAGCCTCCCGCACAAAAATTACCAGAACATGCATAATTCATAAGAAAAACCAAGATGAGTTTAAAAAAGTAGGATGAGGTCACGGACACATCAATCGACATTGCAAAGTGCGTTACTGTAAGTAGCATATATCTGAGAGCTTAACGAGGAGAGGGACGGAGGGGAGACAGGACCAGCAAAGAAGGAAACACATGAAAAGCCGTGAGGACAACGTAAAGAGGACATCAGACAAAGCAGCAGCAGCAGCACAAAGGCACGAGCTTTAAAACAGGGACGGAAAGAGGTGTAATAGGATCAGAGCGGACAGCAATAAGATAGCAGTGTGGGGTTCAAACAAAAAATATGATGCAGCAGAACGACAGATGAAGGGACGTGAATGAGAAAAATGAGACGTGACGGGACAACACGAGACCAGAGCAGAGCGAAGTCCGCGAACAGTCGTGAGATGCGTACCCAGCGAGCAGCGGACTCTTCAGAGCCGCTTGACAGACATGGCCTTCAGCGCACGACGGACGATACCGACCGAGTGGCCGCCTTCTTCGTCTTTGGAGGGAGCGGCACCGCCCAGCGGCCCAGGCCCCACTCCAAATTCGTCAAAGGAAGAGGTTCTGCGAAGATCGTCGCTGGAGACAGGCGGGGGCATCGGTTTGCGAGTAGAGAGGAAGAAATTGGGGTTGCGGCGGACGGAGGCCTTTGGTTGAGGGATGTGCGATATCGGGCCTGATGTCTCGGATTGATATCCGCGTCCGACGCGCTTTACGCCGGTGGTCGACATTAAAAATCTGGAAATGGACATCAGAGGAGAATTGTGGAGATGTATGGTGGGAACATACCGATCGTAGACACCTTCCAGGTGTCGCTTGGCGGGCGTGTCGATGGTGGTCGAAGTCTTCGATGGCGGCCTGGGAGGGTACGGCTCAACATGTTGAGGGGAAGCCGTCAGTTCGTCCACCTTCAGCTTCTCTCCAAAACTGGTACATCCAGGGCTCCTAAGTCCGCTGCTGTCTGAGATAAAGATGCTCGGGTCGACCAGAGTCGAAAGACGGGGAACCGGCTGGGGCTTGGACACTACAGACATTGTCACGTAAGTTTAAAAAATGCGAGTCGTAGGCATTGAAGCACTTACGTTGTTCTATCTCGAACTCCAGACGAGTTACAGGTGTGATCGGTCTACCGAGTTGCAGGTCGTTCTGCGACCGCGACTTCTCACGTCCCTTCGAGGGCGAAAGATCCAACTGTAACGCGGGTTTAGTCTTTGCTGGCGCCTCAGGTGAACGGCTAAGGATCGTCGCCCTACGACGTTGACGCGATGGAGTGCCAGGACCGTCCGATAGCTTCACATGCGTAATCATCCTGCTGGGGTCCTCCGATGGGATGCTTGGAATCGACGCGTCGTTGTTCATCCAACTGCGGCGGAACTCAACAGACTCGTTCGGTTGTTCGTTGACCGAGACGTTCAACGACGTCGCGGTAGTCTCGCCTTGACCGGGTTCATAATCTTGCGAGAAAATATGGTTTGCAGCAAGGATCCGTCGTGGCACACGAGCCGAGTGGTTCGAGTTGTTCGAGCGGTTCTCGGGACGTTGTTCAGATGTGCGACGCGAGATGGGAGCAACCGGAAGAGGGGGGAGGGGTGCGTTGGTGGACATCGCAAAGTTTTGGCGGGCATCCTCGACCACCTCTGACCGAAGGTTTTTCAATTAGCATCGAGCAGGAAATGACGTATGCATGGAAGGCTCACGTTCCACGTTCTTGATCCAGATTGTCATGCGATCAAGCTGGTTGGCAGCGGCGACCTGCTCGTTGCGCACTGCATGGCGAACAACGGGCAGGGATGATTTCGCTGGGTGATGTGCAATGTCAGCGATGAGTCAAGAATGGTCAGTAAGTGCTGGAGCCTACCTTCGCGAATGATGTTCTCATCCTCCCATGAAGCCCTGTCACTTACGCTCTGACGAGAGAGATCTTCTTCGGGCGTCTGCTCGCGCGATGACTTCGAGTACCCAAGCGCCTGAGTGGAGGACTTGTAGATACGTTTCGTCATGTCTGCCATTTCGTACACCGATGAGCAAAGCATATCTCAATAGACAAGAGTTGACTCACCAATAGACATCCTGAGGCTTTGTTTCAGGAGGCTCAGACCGGTGTCATTGCCAGAACGCTCCTCAATGTCGTAAAACATGGAAGGCTCTGCAAAACAAAACGTCAGCTTGCGTTGACGATATAAGGCGACACCATTCTCACCTTCGATCAAAGGACTGAGGGGCGTAGGAACATGTGAGGTGGGAGGAGTGGACGGGGAGTCCCTGCGAATGGTGATACGAGGGTACCCATGGTACATCTGTACATCCTCCACTCGCTGCCTCTCCAGCTCCTCTCGCACCAGCTCAAGCTCTTTCTGCCTCTCCCGTTCTGCCTGTCGCAGAACCTCCCGCTGGCGCATCTTCTCGAACTCCGCCTCCTGGGCCTTCTGCCTCTCTAGCTCCATCTCTAGCGCGTACTGCCTCTCCATGTCCCGCCTCATCTCTTCCTCCTCTCGTTCCTGCTCCCTCTGGCGCTGTCTCTCTTCTTCCGCCTCGCGCATGCGCTCCTCAATCTCCTCTATCTCACGTATCCTCTGCCTCTCGCGTTCCCATTGGCGCATACGGTGGGAAACCGACTCCGCCTTGTATTCCCTCGGAGAGTCATTTTCACCACTTCGGTTGGCCTTAGAAGAATCGCCGAAAATGCGACTCCTCCTGTTCTTCTCTTTCTTCTCTACAAGGGGCGAATTCTCATCTTGTGTTCTGTTCTCCTTCGCAGGTCGCTTCTTAGCAGGGGAACTGGGAGGGGAGGGCTTTCTAGGCCCGAGAGGCTTGCGCGCGGCGCGCGAGACACCATTGACGGCGGTGCTTGCTTGTAGGACATTCTCGCGGTCCCTAAGCTCGCGCGAAACTGAGTTGTGAAGAGCTTGGGCAGTGTTGGTGGAGAGAGGTGAGTGCTTGATGGGAGAAAGAGTGGCAATCAATGACGGCGCTCGTCCCTCTTTCCTAGTCTGAGCAACACCGCGAGCTATGAGACCAACTGTGAGTATCATGCATGCACACAAGAAGCACAGAGCACTAACGTTCAGCAGGTTGAGTGACCGAGTGAGATTGGGATCGCTTGTGGCGAGGCAAAGCAGAAACCAGCGCGGAAGCAGAACGGGACTTCTCCCTTGCAAGCCCGGGAGGACTGGCGATATTCTCCTTATCGACCGCAACAGGGATTTTCGTTCGTTCCTGCTTGGCCTTGCTTTCTTCCTTCGTGCTACGGCCCGTCCAGACAGGCAAGCCATTGGGGATATCAGCGAGAGAAGTACCTCGAGAGTGTGATACGCTGGCAGATTTTCCTGCCATCCTGTTGTAAGTACTTTACTTTCACTTGCCAAATTGCACGACGTACTGTGGGACGCAAGCGGAGAGTCGCCTTGCGTTTGAGACCAATACCGATCCGCCATGGCTTCAGATGCGTTATAGCGAAGGTCAGCGTTGGGCGATATCATCCTGCGAAGCATGCGCTCCATGCTGGGTGACATTTTCCAACTACCAATCCACTTGCCGCGCAGCTAATTCATAGCTTTCAGTATTCTGCACAGCACTGAGCAGAATGAATGGCATACCGTCCGCGACCAGTACTTCTCAAGATCCTCCTTGGTAGAGAACTGCTCGCCTTCGGATTGCTCGAAG